CTTTCGTGAGAATTAATTTTCGTCATAGTTTAGCACAGCACCAGAAGTCTCGGCTCCTTTGCATCTGTCTGACCACAGGGAATCATAACGTGCTGACATCTTCCCTCACTCTTTAAGGAACAGGTAATTTCGTGATCCTGTTCGTTCTAGAGTCTAGGTGCATGACACAATATAAACGTGGTTGGCTCTTCAATTACAATGTAGAAAACATTTACACTCATTTAAGACAGCTTTGCCGAATTCTCTTAAAAGAGACAATTTTCACAATAATTTCCCGGGACGACAGAACTTACTTTATCACTTTAAAGCAAAGCAAATGTAAGAAAAAGTTCACTACATTTGTAATACACGTTCCTAGGCTTAGATACCACAAATACACATATTAATGTGTCCAGAGTAACAAATAAGTCGAGCCTCAAAGAGCTGAGAACAGATGGTTGCTTGCTGTCAGTGTAATGTAATGAATGGTGTTCCTGGAAAGTTCGGAAACCAAACTAATCGTATGTCAAAGAATTATTGACTGAGACTGATTAAAACGGATCCAGAATGGGCAGGATAGAGGTAAAGGCTGTAACTTATTATTTTTAAAATCGTGTGTTGCAACCGAATACTATCGAAAAAAATATATATACAAGTGAAAACACCATCTTGTCACATTTTATTTTTATAACACTCTCTTTAAATTGCGAAACAATGATTTATTATTTAATTTCAATTAACCAAATTATTTTCACAAGTGTCATATTGATTTTTTTACTGAACAACATGTGGACTTCCTGTAACTAATACATAAACTTATAAAATTAAGTCTCGTTAAAAACACATTTAAAAATAACTGGGAGGGGGGAAGAATCACAGTTGGAAAAATAATTCCCCCCAGTCATATTGTTGGAAGGCCTTCATATGGGCTAAAACATAACAGTACATGTAAATGACGTAATAATAATAATAATAATAATAAAAATGTACATATACAGACACATGCCCTGACGAAACTGTTCACTGACAACATTCGAAGAGAGAAAAACTGCACAAACATTACCCGCTGTTTTCTTCAGCCAGCAGAATTCTGTACTCAGACAGACAGACATACGGTATCAACCGTACACGGTGGTATTTTTATACTTTACTAATTCGTTAAAAACATAACTTGTTTCTTATGCAAAATCTTAACAAATTATATTCTCTGTACAATAGACGCGAAAAATATCTTCGATGTAGGCCTAAAATCTCGACACAATTGGACATTTTTAATACACTCTTAATACGGAAATAGACCAAAAAATTGACAAAAAAGTAATAGCAAATTGAGAGAATTCAACAGTTAACAAAACATGTCCATTATCGCTCTCAGAAACGCACTCAATGTAAAAAAACTAACGACCTTACATTACGCATTCATCTGGCTCAGTTGTCATTTGTTTCACGACTGTCGGGGTCCCTGCAGACCTTCAATTCATTTCTAACTTCTCTCGCTGTGCTTTATAGAGCGAAGGTATTTGCTATCCACTTCCCGATAAATAATTTTTGCTGGCTTCCATTAGCTCATCCAATGGATTTCGTTCCATTCTCAGATGTCGTTCACTCATTCCTTCATGCAATCCACCATCTCAACATGGGCGTGGCGAAGGAGGGGGGAAAAAGCATCTGCCCGGAATTGAAGCCTGGTCGTCCAGCAAGTGGCCTGAATTCTAAATATCGACAAGACCTACACATACTTCTGCGCGTCTGCAAACCTTCGTGCCATTTGCGTGCGAAGGCAATGTAAAAAAGTTCGCTTCATTTGTCGTCTCCGAGATCTGCAACGAACACGTCTGCCGACAGTCGCGAGCGCTGGTTGTGCAGTGGTTCAAGTTACGGAGACCCGCCGCCATACTAGGGTTCTCGTGGTTTTATCAGTCTTTCTAGGCAAATGTTAAAGACGCCACCTCGAATCTCTCCACTTTCACCGATCATTCTGCAAATTCGGGCAACTGGGAACGTCGTTAAATAATCTCCAGAACCACAAAAATACATTGGTTTATACGCAGGTTGGATGGCTCGCGTGTTCGTAGACAGGCAATTCTATAGGCCGTGTTTACTTGGCAGATACGTACTTGAATTTAGTTTTAATTTGTCCTTTTTAAACTAGAAGCAGGCTCAGAGAAGATTCCAAAGAGAACGGGACACTAGGCAAAAGCCGAAAATATTTAATTACGTCGCAAGAGGCAGGTCAGCTGCCGCATTTCCTGTTCCGAGCGGCACAGGTGCCAAATATCCTCCCTGAATTCCCCTGTCACAAAGAATACGCATTACGACGTACTTTTGAGTCATGTCCTGAACATATGCCATTTTGTGTACGCCAAGCGAGAGGCTTGAAGTTACCTGCTATCTATTTACAATTTCTTTAGAAATTAATGCTCTCAGACGCGTTTAGTGCGATGGTTCCAGGCGATTTCTTAAAGTACTAGGAAAATAACAGTCGTATCTGTTCAAGGTTTCTGCCTTTACATACTAGGAAAATAACAGTAGTATCTGTTCAAGGTTTCTGCCTTTACAGGTCAGGGTATTTGGTTTGTTCCAATTAAGAAACGCTGAATCCTGTTAAATGACGAATCACGTCTGATAACACCACAACACAACACAAAACATCGGGACAGATACCACTCCCCCTACAAGACGGCTGTTATGACCAGAAGGGCTTTGGTGTCGCTGAAATAAGGATTTTAATTCAACACGGATAAGAGGACTTGTTGCCTGCTCATGAGCAACCAAAATTATAGAATAAAGCTTGCTTTAATTTCTTGTAAAGAAATGGGTTCCAGGAAAAAATTATAAAGTTAATGAAGGAAAATTACCGGATCTCGTAAGCCAGTTTTCTCGAACATTTAAAATGAAATTCTACAGCAAAGTTAATGTGAAATTTAGTAAGTCGCATCCTTGTGTGACCGATAGGCATGCCAGCAACAACTAGAGGTTGCAATCTCGGCGAAATGTTTAAAAACATCTACAAACGTATTTTGTGCCCAAAGTACAAAGAAATTCTATCACCTTTATTGATCGCGAATATCATTCATGAAACGAACATAAACAAATTTCGACACTGTCTAATAATTATTCAAATTATTACACAGGAATGTGGAGCATTGTTATTGGATTTTCGTTCACAAGCCCGACAATCTACCAGATGACGACTGAGCCACACGGATGTTTCTGTTCCCTCACTCTTTCACGCTGCATTTCCGTCCAAAACTCCTTAATCAGCATCAAACAGACAAATCAACAAAGCCTCACCACACGACCACAGGCAACTGCACTCATGTCTGCAACATCGAATTTCGTTAGTTGAAGAGATTCAGCAACGCTGAAAATAATAATTGCTACTGTCCCAACGAAGAGAGCGCTGATTTCGTTAGCTTATTGCTGCCATTTTCCATATTGAAACAATTTATTTATTTTTGGTTGTGGATCCGAATTTTTAATGGTTATTAAGCAAGGTCACACAATTCCTCGTTCAAAAGTCTGATTAGGGGAGGAAGTAATTATTGCGGGCAATTTCCTGCAAAACGTAAAGATTGTCATTTGCCTTATGTTTATCGATTTACAAACAGGACACTTATTGTCTGCACTTGAGGAAGTAACAAATCATATTTTCTGGCTTCATAATTATAGATGGCTGAAAGACTGATATTAAATATGCAATAAATCTTCATATTTCCTGCCAAATTATTATAATTTTTTTAATATCTGCTGCAGCAAGTGGCAACTTCAAACCGGAGATTTTTCTGTCGAAAACCTTCCAGCTTAATTCAGACCGCTGACGTAACATAAATGATTTTTAGCTTTTGTTCAATTTGAAGCTGCAGCATCCCTGTTGTAATGAGTGAAGACACCTGGTAGGCGCAGTGCGCAGTTCGACCTCAAAGCTCTAGTTTCTATTTCGGCTTATTTAGGAAATTCGGGGCCGGCGTTGCCATGGCACGAGTTCCGATAACCCTCTCTAGACCATGTTCGCAGTAACCACGTAAATGCTGTCGTGACTAGGGACAGAGAGGCGCAGGATGGGGGAGGGGAAGCTATAGAACTGCCGACGTCTCGAGATGACGACGATGTCTTACGTTAGCTGTGCCTCACGTGAGAACCGTAAAAATGGCCGTCCTAGTTATTCTTTGGTTCAGGATTCGTATCTCAAGACACGAGAACTTTCTCAACCCATGCATGTACCTCACTGGAAGAAGGCACTAATAGATAACACAGCTTTACCATTGGAATACGCCAATTTAAGACGGCCCTAACAGTGGTAAGGGCTGCCGGTGTGACAATGACGTTATTGTATCAGGTCCCTTGCCGAGTAGGATTTTTTATAAATACGTCTCAGTTTTATGGTGTCATTGCCACCAGCAAGCGAGTTAACGATTCCTTGAAGCAATGATAAGAAAAAAAAACACTGAACCAGTCGGCGCAACGCATTTTCGCGATATAATATGGTTTTTTAGTTTTGATTTTGATAGCTTCCTTAATAAGTCATTCATTTTTGTCATTGACCCCCAGCGAAGCATTACGAAAATACAGGTCACAAGAGCCCGATCATTTCAATCTCTTGTTCGATAACAAATTGCTGGTTTTTTGGGGGCTACACGTCACGCCAGTTCTGTTGGAAGTCGGTACTGCAGCTACCTGCAGTCAGTCCTCTAGAATTTGTAACTGTTGCTTTTTTGGGGGAAGAAAGTGACGTTTCGAACCTTTGTTTACGTGTCACACAGACTAGAAGTCTTAAAAAAAATCCCGCTTTCCTGTCCTGAGAAGTGGACACCACCTTAAAATACTGCTGTGTGTATGTAACATGCCGTAGCACTGTGACGTCGTGAAAGTTGTTTCGCGTTGAAAAAATATGGCGAGGTGCTGAGACGTGAAACCCGAGGGGCCAAGAGAGAAAGAAAGAAAGAAAGTGACACCGTCACATTGGTCCTAAATTTGAAATTATGGAACGCGGGTCGACACTGTGCTGTAGGACGTCTTACCGAGACTCGAACCCGCACCACGCACAGTCGGAGGCCGGTTTCACCTGACGTGCCACAGCCCCAGATTCAGGGTGCTGAGCTGAGGCAACTTCATGATCCGCTCCAGGCCGACGGTGCTGATCCGCGTACAGCCGTACAAGTCTATGCAGCGCAAGTTTCGGAGGCACTCGGCGATGGTCTGCAAGCCCTTGTCCGAGATTCGGCTACACTGCCCGATGTTGAGCGTCTCCAGGTCGTGCAGCGTCCTCGCGATGCGGCAGATCCCATCGTCAGATATCTGGCACGCGCTGAGGGACAGGGATCGCAGGTTGAACAGGCCCTGCGACACGTGCACCAGGGCCTGGTCGCCGATCTTGTCGCAGAAAGACACGTCCAGGGAGGATATCCGCGACCCGCCCTCCGCGAGGTACGCCATGCCAATGTCAGATATGTTATCGCACGACCGCAAGTTCAGTTCGCGGAGAGACACCATCTTAGCCAAGTGCTTAAGTCCACTGTCGGTTATGCTTACACAGAAACTAAGATTGATGCTCTTGAGGCCCGTGAGGCCGACGGACACGTGCTTGAGGGCCTCGTCCGACAGCCGCTGGCAGTCCTGCAGGCCAAGGTGCTCGAGCGCCAGGTTGCCGTTCGCCGTTTCGCGGTTCAGGCCGGCCAGGTGGCTGATTCCCTGGTCCGACACGTGCCAGCAGGACCTCAGGTTGAGGCGTCGCAGGTTCTTCAGCCCCCACGCGATAAGCAGCAGACCCGTGTTGGTCACGTTGCAACAGCCGCCGAGTTCCAGCACCTCGAGGTTCTTGAGGAACTGCGCGATGCGTCCGAGACTGGTGTCCGTCACCTGCTTGCACAGCGACAGGTTCAGCTGAGTCAGCATCGGCACGTCCGACACGAAGGCGTGCGACAGACCGATGTCCGTCACGTTGTAGCACCCGCTGAGGTTCAGGGACTCCAAGTTCGGGATGCCCTGCACCACGTCCCTGAGACTGCGTCGCAGGGACAGAACCTGGACCCTCCGGATGCCGCGTCGCACGAGGGACAGGAACAGGGACGGGTTGGCTCTCCGCAGGTGCAGCTTGGCTTCGACGCCGCGCCACACGGACTTGTGGTACGCCGCGTCTCTCCACGAGACGCACACCTGCGCCGCTCGTCCCTTGTCGCGCACCTCCAGGTAGCCGAAGATGAGGGCCAGGATCTCGGGGTATAAGCACGACACATGCGTTTGATTGGGTGGCGGCGATGGTTCCCGTGGTGCCAGCTGAAGGTGCGGCTGGTGCAGGTAGTAAGGTTGGTGGTGGTGATGGTGGCGGTGGTGCAGCACCGGCAGCTCCGTGAAGAGCACCTGAGCTTCTTCCATGGTGACCTGGCGACGACGACACTACATCACGTCTCGCTCCTGCCGCAGAGGGCTACTCGCACTCACTGACTGCTTTCCGCCTGCACCCGCTGGAGGCGTCCTCGTCGGCGCGACCACTTAACAAAACTTTTCACTGCTCGGCCATTGGCTGGCGCTGCCCGCTGCCAGGTCACGTGGTACAGGCCGGCTGTATTGATTCGGAGCGCTCTGCGGGCGGCATTTTTAACTTGTCGCAAGCGGGAGTTCCAGCCCCTCCCCCCTCTGCAGAGCCAATCAGCTGACTGGATGCATCGAGATCGATGGTGATATCGATTTTTACACACTTCTGGAAGTACTGTTATCTACTATTTCCGGAAGTGGCGAGGCGTGGCTGTACGTCCTTTGTACGTTTTCGACGGAAACTGAAGAAGGCGTTGCAAGTGGCCACTCTCTCATCGTCCGTGATTTTTCACGCGGAATTACTCTGTGCTCGGGCACGAAGACTCCTTTCACACTGCTGACGAGCGTGTCGCGTTGAATTTAAAGTTGCACTGCCGAAGTCTGCGCTGGCGCATACTTCGGCCAAGGCAGCGCCACACTCCTTCTCTCGCGTTGCTGCCATCCACAGTCCGGCTGAGAGCATTTCCTGCACTTCACGTGCCACGTATGGTCACGACTTCTGATTTCCATTAAGGCCTTTTTCCTCCCCTGCAACGAGCGTGTTAAGACGTCCCAGTCCAATTCAGCCGAAACGTCTAGAGACACAAGGGCCGGAAGTGTCAACGAGGCACTTGGCTTATAGAAATGTGTCATGAAATCTTAGATATTTTTCGAAACTACGCAGGAAGTTGACAGAGTTGTTAGACAGGCAAGTGCACACTTAACCTCTGCTGGCAAGTCGGACCACAATATTACGCAAAATTTTCCACATGAGGCAAGCGTAGGAGAGTGGAGAAATGAATACTAAATATTAGTCACTAATCTTGAAGGGAAAATAACATATGACTACTTGAGAAATCTAAATGCAGACGGAATGATAATATTAAATTTATTGTTGAAGATAAAGGGCGTGAGGAATTGGATTTGTCTGGGGATAGAGTCAGGTGTGATCTGCTCTTGTGAACACGGTATTGCATCTTTGGATTCCACCAAAAAAAAATCCTTTGTGGACTAGCTGAGCGACTAGTAGCTTCTCACGACAGAATCTGCTCCATTGAGTGAGTTGAGAGACGGAACTGCCGAAACGGCCGTCTTCTAAATCAGTGGTATTCAACCTGGGGTACGCATACCCCCGGGGGTACGCGAAGACATCTTAGGGGGTACGTGTAATTTTAAATCATTTATGATAAACACTGAATAATCAGTAATGTAATTTGTTTAATTTATTTTAGATGTAGATTATATACTACGTATAACTTGAATTATACACCAACAACTTTGGGGGTACAAAGTTAAAGAGAAATTATATCTGGGGGTACGCGAACAAAAAAAGGTTGAACACCACTGCTCTAAATAACGAAGTCTTTGCAGAAATTAATTCAAACTGCCCTTTAGCTTCGTTGTCCGCATTTGACAACCTTTTTATTTCCTTGCGCCGATATTAATGTACCAGCGTAATGGCGCTCGGATGACAAATGGACATGTAATATTCTGTAGCATTTGAATTATTTTTTGAACTACTGGCACCAGTAGGGCCTGCAATTCAGTTACGTTAATTACGTGGGAATTTTAAACTTAATGTTGTGGTTGATGACAGCTCATGGCGACAATTACTGCCACTGACGATGAACTTGTTACCCGTAGAACGAGTATTAAAAAAACCCACCGCTGTTATTTTCCACGTGGACCTCCAAGTTACGCGTTTTCACCAAAGCTGGAGTATTTAATAAAGACGAATGACGAGTACGAGAGAAAAATGCGTGAAGATTGTCGATAGGAAATGTGGAATCACGATACCGGCGCTCAGTGGCTGATCAAGACTTACAAATTGCTCTCGGAGTAGATTCAACTGGCTGAGGAGAGTGTGTAATGGCGTTCTTTTTATTTTGTGAACGACGAGGTGATGAGCCTGGCTGTTTGTGTATCCTACCGAGGCTGTTATTTCTTAGTGAGGAAAAGATGCAAAATTTATTTCGTACGTTTTTACGATTATTTACAACCCCCCCCCCCCACATAATTATTGTTTTTCATTATTTTTTTTGAGGAACGCCGATATAAAGGCATGTCTCTTCGTCTTTCTCAGTGTCGTGTGATCGGAAAACATCAAACATTCTCAACCGCCCTGCTTTGTGTCACAAGGGACATCTGTAACTTAAAAACAAGTGTAATCTAATGAATAGTTTATGCGTGCATTGGTAAGCTCTATTTTTAGATTACTTATAAACACAAGTTTTCAATAAATTGTTTGCTGTATTGTCGTGACACGAAATGCTTATTAGTCTATTCGACAGACACATGTGGCGGAGATTAATTAAGCGATCTCTTCACCACTCATTTGTATCGCATTAAGGAATCGACGCATTTAATCACCATTAGCAGCAATAAATGAACAAATACATAAAAATAGAATGAAAAAATTGAACACTCGATATCACCGTTTGTATCATCAGTAGACGTCGGAGATGCAGACACACATTACATTTTGCCTTTAAATGGCCTCGTGTGGTATGACTCCTGGTAGACCTTAATTTAAAATGCCATGCCGTGGAAGGTCGAGTTGCCTTCCCTAGGCATCTAGCGGTGGAAAAGTAAACCACTCCCGCATGGCTGCTGAGGCTGCACACAGATCATTCCCGCCTGCAGCTGCCGTCATGAAATTGCATACGTCAAGGTCACCGACGAGGCCCTCCACCCCTCATCCCGCGGCTCTAAGTCAATAGGACAGTGCTGCTCGCTTTGCTGCGCTGCGCGTTCTGAGCTAGCATCACTCACCTGTACTCCACTGTTCATGATACAGCGTTGTACAATTCTTCTGTGACCTTGAATGATGCAGTTAGGCGACGGCTGCTACAGTGATTTGTTTCGCCCGAACAGTATTAGTGATCAGTGAAAGTTGTGGAGTTCACGAGGAATATTTTTTTTAAATAATTTTCCTGGCTGTGTTCCATTCGCCAGTCATCTTTTACCTGGAGCAGTTAATCCACTCGCCCCGAGTATCGCCATGTCCTTAGTGCAACTACTGGACGGAAGTAATCTTATTTCGGTGTGGGAACTGTTGGCGGGCTTTTGTGAACACGGCAGCGAACAAAAAGATTCCATAAAAGGCGCGCAGATTATTGACTTTTAACAAATGTCCTCTCAAGAAGAACCTTGCCTTAATAATAATTATAAAAAAATTAGTCTTTGCGTCAGAGAAAAAACATCGCAGACATAATTTGGTTGTTGGTATTTGAAGACATTATACTTTTCTATAATTTTCCTTTCCTTTTTCCGTTCAGTTGCTTTGTCCTCTACATTTCCATACAATTTCATACCAAACTTCTCCGTCGAGATCTCTTCGTAGTGAGAAGAAACGCCTGCACATTACTGTTTAGATGATCCGCTTACCACGAATGTCGGAGAAGTTGCCTCTACATCACGGCGACTGCTGAATTGTTCGATATGGAACAGCGTGGCAGACATTTCTGGTATTTTATGGCTTATAATTGTCAATCCTTTTAATATTTTGTATGAATTCTGGTGCTACTTTTTTTTGGAATTAAAGATTGCTGTCTTCTGGGTTGTAGCGCCATGTAGTCTGGTAGAAGTTTACCGACGTTTCAGAGGTCCGTGCTACTGCGTCCATCATCACCGCCTTGAGGTTTATTGACAGTTCAAGAAAGGTTTAAGGATTTCACCGCCGTGAAACCTTAAATATTTCTTGAATTGTTAATATATGTATATAACGAATTCCGTACAGCAGAGCTGTTATTTAAAATCTGATAGTGGCTAATCTGATCAATATATTCGGCGACTCTAATTGAGTCCGATGATTCACTGTTCATTTGGGAACAGCCGGCCACTGGAACAAAATTTACAAATCGAATTCATACCTCAAAGAAAGTCCGCACTTATCCACTTCGACGATCAAGTGTTAAAGAGGATGGTACATATAGTTACCACCGAATGTGAAAGATTTAACCGGCGCTCGTCTCTTTCGCGAATCTGCTGCACACCGAACGGAGAAAACTCGCAAAGTTCAGCTTCCCATATGATGGCGATGACTTGCGTCTGAAGTCTCGTTAGAGGTTAGGTCTTTATGCATACTGCAGGGGATCTGAATAAATCTTTGAACCACATCGCGGTGTTCATTCATCCGTAAAACAGCTTTGTAACCGTCGAAGAGGAACGAGGGTGCAACCATCTTTAATCTTGACTTTTTACAATAGTCGAAGGAGTTTGGCGAGCCCTTTGATGTGAGACTGGAGGCAGGGGAATCGGCGAAGTACACGTTTTTTCTGAGCACCCACGTCTTGCCGCTGCTCGAAATTGTTCGACTTTGCACGATCAGTTCTGTTATGGTGTTGCCGCTAGACTGATGCGAGTTTCAGGGCTGGGTCTTGGGGCTTCTTTGTCTGGCGAATTAACAGGGGGTGGGTGGAGGTCGTTTGGGAACTGAAGCATCCAAGGTTTTGAACACATGTCGAGGGAGGAAGAGAGATTTTCGCTAGTGCAAAACTGACACATGTATGTGAAAGGCTTCTATCTGGTTTTGAAGCCGTCTTTAATTAAAGTTGGTCCATATTAACTGCTTATGTACGGCGTCGTAGTTCTTGATTTTTTGATCCAGTACTGACACACACGAACATGTTTTTTCTTCCGATTTCGAATTTATACATAATTGATTTACTCTTGGTAAGTGTCTCTGCAAGCGCAGACATCCGCTTACCTCGTCTTTTGCCCATGTTGTACATAACCATTTAGCCTAATAGGAACCAACTGGAATGAGGTAGGTAAGGCTACGCTCTTGGAACCCAAAATTTGCAAAGAATGCGTGCGGAAATCGAGTGTATTCGCGCAAGGATCAAACCTTTGCAGTTTAGAGGTGGATAAATTTAATGTGGGTTGTTATCTTCGATGTTGTGTCTTCAGAATCACACAAAGTGCAATTAGAGAAACAATATTTCACTTCATCTCCGCCCCCTTCGGTTTAAATGAAGTGTGGGTTAGCCCGCTATTGTTCCGAGGTCTTAAATTATGAACAAGAGTCCACACTTGGTGCGTTTGTTTCGGTCTTGCATTAAGCGTTTCGCGTTTGTTGGTAAACGCCGCGTTCTGAATTATTAGGAGTTTGCAGGAATTACAGCGCAGTCTAGCGCGTGAAATTTCAGCTAAGCTGTATTAAATGTTCACGCAGTAATCGTCCCTGTACAAAGAGCTCTCATGCTAACCTAACCTTCTCTCTCTGTGATACATAATTCAGTTTTTTCCTAAAATGTTTATGTTTCATGACACGTGGAGTCGTGTCTCACTGTAAATTGATATCTGCTTGTGTGTGTGTGCACTGTGCGAATGCTTGCGTGCTTAACTTTCGAGTTATTTTAGAAGAAAGTTGATTTCTTAGGAAGATGAATCTCGAACACCTGTCAAAACACCCCATTATTCACCTTCCAGCGCGAGTGAGCAGCTTATTTGAGCGGTAAAAATATGATCTGTTAGCAGGCACTTGATTTTCGTGTCCCAGTATGGACATCAGCTGTACATCGTTAAATTTCTAAGTTGTTTCCCAAATACCTTCAGGTGAATG